AAAAGTTTTTCTAGACAACTTCGGAAGTCTTCGGGGATTTGTGTCGCATCTGAGCCATGATAGATGCAGAGGAGAGTCCAGCGACTTGAACCAACCCACTTCTAAAAGCTTAAAGAATTTAAAATCAATTGTTTTTTCGTGTTCTGCCAACTTCGTAGATTTTGCGTAATGAGGTTCAGCATGGCACACTAAAAACTTAAACTCAGCTTTTACACTGATACATGTTCTAAAGTGTCTTCTATCGGACACCGAGAACCACAGATCTTTATCTGACGAATTGAATCGATTGATATTTAAAAAGCATCCACGTATACTAAATTTTGAAATAGACATCGTTCTTTGTACCTGATTTGTTATACATTGTTTATTCGCAGTTGTTTTTTTATTAATAGCTTCTCGTGCTCGATCGGAAGATCGTTTTCGTTCCTCAACAGTTTCTTTATGTGAATCAACTCCATCATATGCTGCACCGACGGCCAGTTCGAAATTAAAAGCAAATTCCATGAATGAACAGGCAACAGCAGCCTCCAATGCATCTTCTTCCTCAACGATTAGTCACCACGTTCGTCGAGCACCGTCCGTCGTTTCACTTCAAATAATAAACGATTCTTCTTCTCGATCATCAACAACTAAAGCATTGGCAAGCTATAGTCAATCATCATTAGACGTTTGTAAAAAATCTCGTTCAACACAAAATTTATCTCAATTATTAACTACTTCCTCGACAACAACCACCACCATTGTAACTGCTTGCTCATCTTCATCGGCAACAAATGTTAGAGAAGAAACAACAACAATAAAAACCAAACCATTAACGTTAAAACAGGTACACAAAACGTGAAATTTAATAGTAAAATCGAACAATTGACATCAAGTTTACACATTTTGTCCGACTTTTTTGAGCATTTTCTATGATTTCAGATTAAAATGCAATCTCAACAACAAAGCCGTCGCTTGAAAGTAAAACGACCGCCAAATTTACCCAAACCGTCAACTTCATCACCACCGAATCCACCGCTACAACTCTCGTCTACTTCTTCATCGAGTGCATCATCGCCAACAAAAAACTCAGAAAATCTACAAAAGGAAAACCAGGCAGTTTCACCTCGATTTTTTCCATCAGCAGCGCCTGTTCCATTACGTGAATTGAATGACCAACAACATCAACCATCAACGTCAACAAATCGTTTTTCATCATTAGATATTCCAAAATGGGCTAAAGATTGTTTGTATCGAACCATCGTACTGGGTTTATCTCCTCTTGTTATTAAAGGTAATGTATCATGGAAAACAACAACAACGAACCAGAAGTCTCACTCTAAAAAACTACCAATTTACAGTTCAGAATTTGACTTCGACAAGGAGAAAAGAATTGAATGTTTTAGAGTTACTAAGTCAACAACAGAACTATTTGTTTAGTTGAGCACGACGGGTTAGTATAGCACAGAGAAGGACAAAGACCAAAAAACTTATATCGTTCAGCTCTGGTATAGAAATCTATCAAGACAAATAAAGAGTCTACCATTCAATCACACCATGCGGAAGTCTTTGAAGCTAAAACTTCTGCTCTTTGTCTACTTTTATCATAAATATGAGTTTTGTTTTTCAAGATTCGTGTTCATCATCGTCAGCGACCGAAGATACAATGACAAATGATAGTCCTCCAGTGATACTCACTCCTTCTCAAATTCCTCGTTCATCAAGTATCTGCTCAATCGAAAGTACCGATTCACTGGAGACGACAAGTGAAGTACCACTTTATCAGACAATATTCAATGACGATCAGAATCAGAACGACGGTGGCTCATTTGTTAGACGAAGTATGTCGATACCAGATTATCGACATTTACAAAACCAAAATGAACATCAATATCGTACGCGATTTTCATTACCAACAACAACAGTAAAATTTGACAGAATTAATGATAAAGATGATAATTATTCAAGTCAAAAAGAAGAGTATGTCTTCTATTAACATTAAGTGTGTATTGTGAATATCTCTCTTTTCATACTAGTGATGATGATCCATCTGACACTGATTCGTACAATTATATCGATGGTAAGCGCTGTTATATTGTTTGATAGTCTTCTGAGCACCAGGAGAATGAACTGAGACGGAGAACTAGATCAATTAATGATGAGCTAATTTTCTTAGACGATCGCCTACGAAATATTGTTGATGATTTACACAATCGCTTAAACCAACTTGAACAGTTATACGCTACAGTGAGTGTACTTGTGCTGATGTAACAAACTTCATTTTAATTTTGCTATTGAAATTTGTTTAGATATGCAAAAGTAATACATCTCGTGATAAAATGCTTAAAAATTATATTGAACAAATATTTACCGATCTTCATACACGCATAACACACCAGCAACAGTCATCATCGACAATAGAAACAACTACATCAAAATGTTAATCTTTCTTCTTTTCTTCGAAAAATACGTTAGAATAGTTCTTTCTCTCTCCCTCTCTCTCCGGTTTTTATGGCAGGCGGTGACAGATCGTAAGATTAAACGTGTGTGTTCCTTATTGGTTTTCATTGTTTAATTCACTACTCAGGGAATTGGATCAAATGTGTTTCTTATTATTGCTCAATTATTTGAATCTCCCCATTTCATTGTTATTACATTTTGTTTTAATCAAATACTGGTGGAAATGAATGAGCTTCTCTGTTTTGTTTTTATTTTATGGATAGACTAGTTGAAAGATGATTGTTCTGCCCTGTTCGAGCTCTTTTCTTCATATAATGGCCTGAGTTGTACTAGTACAAGCTTCATCGATAATGTCATAAACAGTCAAAAGGTTTTTCTTCATTCTTTTGTTATGTATATACGATGTTTTTATTGAAAACATGACATACGTACACATTAACTTTTGGGCTTTCATGTTTGATATATCTTCTAGAATATTATTTTTCTTTTTGTTCGCGTATTCTATTGAACTATGTAGAAATTTTTTTCATTTTGTGAGTACACATCTTGTTATTTTTATTTTTATATACATCTATTTCTTCAAAATGTGCAGGGTACATTTTTTGAAAAAAAATAGATGAGAAACAGACAATAAACGGCTGTCTGACAAAAAAAGGAATGAACTCGATCGTTTTTCAAATAAAGTTTGATCGAAAATAAATAAAGAACTGGAAATTGAACTATAAACGTACAAGAATAAAATATTTGTTTCTCGCTCAAAATCTGTTCAACCAGTCAATTTGAAACTTTGAGTACATGGTGCGGTATATGATCGCCAAGATGTTGGAAATTCATCTTGTATTCTGAGTACCGTTTTCTAGAAAATCTAGATAATTCTAACGATAAAAAAACCAAGAGTTTCACATTTCTGACTCTATCAACTAGCAAGTAAAGCTTAATTTTCTGAACGTTTCCATTAGTTTAGCTGGATTCTCAGCGAGATATGACTTTTTCATTCGTACTCTGGTCGTCTTTGGTTCCTGAGAAAGATTGAAAAATGATCTATATTGTTTTACACTTTTACAGGCTGTTTTCAATATGAATCGTCAGAATCTGTCATATCAAGTAAAAATCCGCCTATGAGACACAGTTCTGGAGAAGATTAATTTGCGGTTTTCCTGGCCAACGGTGAATTTTTCAGCCAAAGATCGAAGTTTCAGCAAAGTTTTAAAAAGTAACTCATTCGATCCCGTTTTTTTACGGAGATCCAAATATTGCATTGATTTTTAAGATAAATTTTGTATTGATGGTGAAATTTAACAAAAACTATCCAAAACCTGCTTTTTTCTGGTAGACTACTCAGTTACATTTTCTTAAGACTATCTTATACATCATTCTGTAGCCCGTGAAATTCTCGATCGGACGATGGTATATATAACAGGTTGTGTTTGCTCTAGATAAAAGAAGTGGAATAATGAAAATACTTTGAGTAAAGGTCATTCAACGAGGAAAGATTTTTTTTGATGAAAGGTTTTCAGGGTCGCTGAAAAGGATTTCTACGGTCTAAAAGTACGTTAGGGTTAATCGTGGACAAAAACTGCATCAGATGAACTAACTTAAGACTAATTTAAAAGGAGGCCGATTTACGACAAAATCATTTTTTTCTTTCCAAATGCTAAGCCGACAGATAAAAATGTTTTTTAAGAATGAAAAACCGTTCCACTACAAAAAACTCGAGTATTTTTGTCGAATTTCATTTCGGGGCTTCACCATGCTTTTTCTGAACAGCTCGACGTACTCTCTCCATCATGTATAAATAACTCAGAAATAAAATAGTGCTTCACCTTTGAATTGGCAGCGCCTTACTAAAAATAACAGGAGACTGTGCGGATTTCTATTCCACTTAATAAATATTCTTAAGTAATAAAAAATAACTTTTCTTTCCATCGTTCACATTATCATGCAATATATGACATGTAATCAAGAACTATGATATTAAATATGAGTTCGATAAAACAGCAGTAACGGAGGTTATCCATCGAACAGAAACCAATTACTTTTTCAAATCAACATGTGCAATTAAAAGCTGTCGAAAAATAAAAATGACTGCCGACAAAGCAAAAGAATTCATGAACTACATTTGACTAGAAGTTAATTTTGTTGTGAAAATCCAAACTCCATGTCATTTCTTTCTTCGTGGTATTATTCTTCTAATTTACACTGAACATACTTCGTGCGAGCGATATTGTGATTATGAGAGAGAGTCGAAAATAGCTGAGCCCAGAATGGTTTAGTTACAAAAAGATAGAAATGATCCCGGAATTCACTAAACATTTTAGGCGTTTACTACTAAACCGAGAAATGTCACTATATCAGCTGTTTATGACTGCTCATTTAATGTGTTCAACATACAACCGATAAGATACGATTCAGAATACACTGCACATATAGAACCTAATCTGACAATACCAGCCTAGGAAAGTGTGTCACTAGAAAGTGGTGATAATATTGCTCACCAAAGGGCTGTTTCTGGCGGCAAACGGAATTTTGAATGACCGAATAAGCAATTTTAATGCTTTTTCTTTCAATTTCAACTTAAAAGCTGCCGCTCTGGCACACAAACTAGAAGAACAATCCTCTAGTTCGCACGCATCTGACTCGTCACTGCGGCTGTGAGTTTTGGCACGAGGCACTACCTCTTTATAATGTGTTTAATATAAGCAACTGGATACACTGGCAACTGTAGCCTAAAATATTTGATGCGTGCATATAACCCACTTTTACGTCTAATTATCTGTCTTCCCAGCCGTTTCTCTCGCGTCAGCTTTATCGACTAAACTATTCGAATTTATTGAACCGAGTAACTAACTAAACAGACCGATGTGCACTGTCATCAGCGTAGGATTCCCTACTATCTACTCTTCTCTAAACTAGAATTCGGAAAGCGAGCACAAGACGTTTCATCTATAATGCACGCGGTCTGACTGATGGATGACTCATTAATGGTTGAGTCATAGATGAAGCGTCCTGTGCTCACTTTCCGACTTCAGGCTTTTTGTGCGATGTTATCGGCGTTCGCGCTGGATGTCTTGGTCTTGTTTTTCAAATGCAATGTAGCACATCCACCTAAACCGATCACGCACACGTTCTCCAAAATGGGTCGTCCAATAAACGAACAAGTATTGACATGGAAAAGCAGAACTAATTATCGAGAGAAGAATAAGAAAGCGGAACATGTACACAGTACGAACATCGCGTGCTCTCATCTCGTTTAGTCTCATTGCTTATATTACAAATTATTATAAAGAGGTAAGGCCTCGTGCCAAAACTCACAGCCGCAGTGACGAAGAACACGCGAGAACTGAGAGATTACGATCTCTTGGTTTCCGCCAGAGCGGCATTTAATTTTCAACTTTCAAATGAAATTAGCTATGTTTGTTGACTAAACGTGTTTAACAATCTCGGAAAGTATACGAAAACAACCTAAAACTTTTTCCACGCAGTACTCTTCCCTATTCTACGAATACTGAAC